TAGCTTAAGCGACTTTTAGGGCAAAACTGTAGAAAATCAATAGAAAATTTATTGATAGAGTAACACGCACCCTGCACAAATATAAAAGCTAAACTAGACTTCGCTCATATGTAAAGCAGTTGGAAAAGTTAAGCTTAAGAGAAAGACTTAAAAGGCAATTCGATTTTAGCTATATTTAACTTGATAGAAGAGAGAATACCCCATAAGCACATTGTGTATATCTGTGCTTAAAATAATGACTAATGATATATAGAGCAGTATGCACTTAATAATTTAAGTGAAATAATGTCTACAATGGAATGATGATGTATTATAGATACCCTATTATTCTTACACTTCTCAAAAGTCAAAGGGAATTTTCTATGTAGGACAACAAATGTATTTTATAACGGCCATGCCTAAAAGCTGTGTAACACAGAGGAGTCAATAGTAGAATTTGGAACCCCTAGATATAATCTTCCTTAAGATATGTAAAAATCAATTCGAAATATTTCGCTACTTTTCAAGCATATAGTAACAATCGAATGCAACTCACTCTGCATAATTTACAGGGTATTCTCACTGCATTGTCATAATTATTAATGCGACTTTGAGCACTGCATTTGAATGTGGTCAAGACACAGTAGCGTCGTCTTTTGATGTTGACCGACATTTGTCATTAGAGCAAAGTACACAGCAGGTGGGCGTTACTCGGGTGGGTGTGGCCGTTGGAAGGTGGCTGTTACTACAGGTAGCAGTCACTAAAGAGGTTAAATAGCAACGGCAAGTTGCAATTGCTGTTGCAGTTGCAGTTGCAGTTGCAATTGAAGTTGTCTAATTGCCAACAGACATTGGCAAAGCCAAGCAAAACTTCTTCAAACTTCCTCAGCTGCTTCTCTCTCTCTCTCACTCTCTCTATCTCTGCTTCTTCTTCTACTACATTCAGCTTGTTCCTCATTTAAATCACACATTTGTACGCGTCATCTACATCCACATTTCACATTCACATTCACATTTCACATTCAATTCTCCATCTGCTGATCTGCATCTGCATCTGTTGCTTGGGGCTGGGGCTGTGGCTGGGGCCATAGCTGGCAGCTAATTTCGAGCAAAAATTAACTCCCCAGCGTAATTTTTCATTTCTTGGAATGGGTTTTGCACTTGCAACACGACTTGCTGCCCCCTGCCACCCCCTTCCTCCTCTCTGCCAGCCCCTACACCACTTTTGATAGCTGCCTCTGCCCCTGCCGCCAGCTCCATCCTTTGCCGCCTCTGTGTAGCATAGACATTAGAACATTTCGTCGTTATTCAACTTTCTATATGCGCCTACACTCAGAGAAATTCATAGCAATATGCTTCATATTTATGAAGATTTTGTCGCAGAAAATAACTAAAAGAGTTTTATTTAATTTCTTAGGGAAGTATTGTAAAGTAATAAATATTTTAATAAAATTCTTAAATTGCTAAATATTTTTATAATATATAGTTTTAATATATTTGAGACTTTTGTTTCATATATCTTATTAAAATTGAGATTTTCGAAAGTTAAAAAATATAAAATATATTTAGATATATTTGTATATTCTTAAACTGAAAAAAAAAAAACTGTCTTAAACTGAAGAAAACTTGGAAAAATATAAAATCAAAATATTAAATTTTAATTCAAGCTGTTTTCGAAAGTCTGAACAACAACAATTTGCACTCCTATTATGTTTTATATATTTAACTTATTTAAAATATTTCCGAGTATTTCGCTTTAGATTCTTAACATTTTTCTAGATTCTCTGGCTTAGCTCAGATATTTTCTACTCATAATATTATAAAAATTTCAGTTCCAATTTAGTTGAAGATATTCTCACTTTAACTAGTTGCAACTGAGAACTTTTTCTCTCAGTGCATGCGCATGTGTCTGCGTGCTTTGCATGCACACATACACATGTAAATATTGGCTTGAATTATATCATTTGCAAAAATCTTGTGGCCAGCCAAGCAGGCAACATAAATGGCAACGGCTTTGACTGCTGCTTCTTCTTCTTCTTCTTCTTCTACTCCCCAGCTAAGTCTGCTTGTGCCACCTCAACTTTGTCTACTTCTTGTTCTTGCTCTTCTTCTTCTGCTGCTGCTGCACCCCAAAATGCGGAAGTTTAAACAAAAAAATCTAATGCACAGAGAAAGTTACAGGGGCATTGTGTATGTGTGTGTGTGCTTTGGTTTATTTCTTCTTTTGAATTGTGTGTGCCACATTTAAAATCTCTTGCAACATTTGCAACTGTCAACGCGACAGCGACAAACAAAATTTTTGCTCTGACAGTTGCCAATTTGGACGAGGGCCAATAATAATGATAATAATGATGATGACAACGATGATGAGGGCCTGCAATGCTCTGCATTGCTATTATTGAATTTTCGCTGGCATTTGGCCTGAAGTCAACTAATTATG